CTTAGTTGTTAGAGCATTGACTTACCACGCGTCATCGAAAGGACGGGAGAGGGGGAGGAGAGGATTGCACTCGCTACATACCGTTCGATTTTTGCGTTTCATAGCGGCTTTGTGGATATTCTAGCATGCTGATTGTGGTCTTGACAGCGTCGGTGTGTGCGAGACAGCAAGCAAGCGGGATACTTGTGCTCTCACATACTGTAGCACATGGCGGCTGATATTTAGTAGTCAAACGTGGGATCATACCAGAACGAGCGGCACACGTTTGGCCGCATGTGCGCGTAGAGTTACGTGTGTGCGTCTTGTCAACTAGGGGTAACCGCGTCAAACACCGTCCCGACAAGCCAAAAAAAACATCGTCCAGCCTCAGGCGGTTTCTTATAAGGTAAGGAAATCCTGTTCAAAAATGTGCAATTTCCCACTCGGAAAGAAATGACCGCGTGTCGGCCAAGACGCTTCTTATAGTGCTTATGGTGCCTATAGTGCAGTCGTTTTTTTTCTTGCACTGATGGCTACACCAGTAGGACTTCGGGGGTTTGTGTTTTGTTTCCATCTGCTACCCCCGTACCACCGTATCATCCGGTCGGCTTGGTGTTTCGGGGATCTCTATGCACCGGGTGACACAACAGCACTAGTAAACTCATCCGACGGTAGCCGTGCTAATGGTGCCTCATGTGGGTTGGTTGCTGCAGACCGTGAGGCGCTGAGAGGTTCAGAATTGAAGTTGGCGAGAGGGGCAACTGCCGTCCGAAAAAGACCCCCCGCTCGAACAAACAGCTTTTGATATATTTTTGCTCCAGCACAGCTTTGGTCTCGTAGCGACCCCTCTTCACTAACCGAACCAGCAGATACCACGAGACCATCTGCCTGTAGCTGTGTGTATCGTGCTTCTTGTGATGTTGTGTTCAGAGACCGTGACACGCTGGGAGGCTGAGCAACGAAGTTGGCGAGGATCGACTGAGTGCAGTGTTTTTTCAAAAAATGACATCATCATCATCATGGCGCTCACTGACAGATTTCTTGCCGTGTCACCGGTGGCGTTGTAGCAATCCCTCTCCATTGACCCATTGACCGAACCAACAGCAATGACACAGCCCTCCGACAGAGAGCACTTGATGGAGCTCACATCCTCTCAAGTTTCAGCAGCAGGGGTGATCTAGCGAGGGAGAAAATGAACATATCGTCCATCGATGTGTGCGTGTGTTGGGAGGACGCCTCGTCTCTTTGAGGGCCTGAGCAAGCGGTGTGTGTGTGTCAGCTGGCCAACATAATGCTTTGAGCGCAACTGACCACGCGGCAACCACATGAATACGGCTGGGATGGCAGCACGGTGCTCCGAGGGTTGCTCGTAACCCTTGATGAGCTCGCGACGACCATTCCTTGCTGCGCAATCGATGTTTTGTCCGATGGTTTTGTCCGTGTGGTGTGCATTTCCAAACGCAAAAATCAAATGCGCCATCCGATTGAAAAATGTCATCATTTCCGGGAACGCATGACCGGTTCGAAACGTGAAATCGAAACTGTGCAGCCGGAAAAGTGCCATTTCTGATCTTACAACAAACAGTTTTTGGTCTGCATTTGGAAATGCACATTTTTGAACTGCATTTCCGAACCTTACAAGAAACCGCCTCAGGCAGCGAAAGTCCCGGTGTTACCAAAAACAAAAAATCCCTCCCTCTAGCAATAGTACTGATACAGGCTACGCAGGGTGTGCAAAGTAGAGTGCGAAGAACAGCCCAATGCTTGCCATCAGCTAAGCGTAGCCCCCGTGATGCTGCAGAAAATTTCATACGTGACAACAATTATAGCAGCAAAACGGGCGATGTCGCCATCAAATTGAGATAGACGTTCTCGTCACAGCACCGATGATAGCACCAACCATAAGTGGAGAAGGAACGTCTAGTCTTTGGCCCTACGGAGAGCGTTCATGTAGTTCCTTGTGGAAGCCAAGCTAGAGCTACCTCTACGTATGTGGTAGAGTCGGCAACAGCAGTCAGTTTCAGGGGACCAGCAACTTCACGGCTGTCCGCGTGGCATCAAACATGCATGTTTCGATGTGATGAAATAATGGGGAAAAAAAAAACACGGTTCAGGTTGTCTGATGTGCAAGCCTACCAACTGCTCACCTTTTTGCGCAGCACCAACAGTCTGAGTGTCCAAGTGCCATCAAGTGACATAAAAAAAGTTGCTTCAATGGTACGAAAGAAGCGAGAAAAACGGTTCACGTTGTTCGCTGGCAATACCGCCTCCCTGCTGTGTATGCATACAACCCCTGCTCACTTTCTTGAGTCCCTTCGCCCCTGCTCCGGCGCCGGTAAACTTGTTGCAGTTGTTCTCGAAAAATTCGACGCCCCCGATGCCCGACCCAATCAACACGCCGAACCGGTCCTTCAAACGAGAAAAACGAGAGAGCAGGTGGTCCGGCGTTACACATCACGATGTTGCCAACTGTTCGAATCGTACCTATGCGTAGGGACAAGCCAGCAATACACATATGCGAGTAAGCAATTAATAAGAATGGAAAAAATGCACACCTCTTTCAACGGCGACAGGAGGGGTTCAGTGTTTCATGGTTCCAGGGGGGGACAAGGGGTTCCGTGAATCGTGGTGCTACAGGAGTGCCTACGAACCTATTTTCCAATGCGTATTGTTACACCGCAAAAGGTACCTTCGAACCAAGCCGAAAACATCGTTGAGACGCTCCGTCCCAATCAAACCAACAGCAGTCGCATCCCACCCGCCCCAATCATAACCACGCGTCTGCGCTTGGCTCTCTTTTCGTCTGTCTGTTTTCCTGTGTCTCTTGTCTGGTCACCTTGTCCACCGCCTCTGTGTCGAGCTTCGAGTCCTCTAGCGCCAGCTTCGTGGCAGCCATGGCGAACTGCGTGTAGCGGCCTTGGCGCTTGGCATCCTTCCCGTCCATCCAGTCCGATGGCTTGAAGTCCTTCACCAAACACCCGATCTGCAAAAAAAACACAAGGCCCCAGGTGTAACAAATCACATCAAATCACTTTACCACAAGGGTCTACAATACTCCCGGTCAGGATGTTGGGTTGGTCGGTGGCGAGACAAGCACCAGCACCAGCACATGAATGGGACGAAATTAGAAACCCATGGTGTTTGCTTAATTTTCCGCACAACATTGGAAAGGAAGGGTGGCGTGCCAGATTGATCCCCGCATACATACCGTACCACGATACCGCATACTGTACCTTGCACGGGTACTCCTCCGCCCACTCAGGCAGGGTCTCGATCCCGTTCTTTCCGTCGAGCAAAGCCTGGTAGTGGCTATCCGTACCGATGCCCACTGACGAGAGCGAACCTACGCCGGTAATCACAATCTGCATTACATCACCAGACAAGAATGGGGGGGGGTGACGTCACATTTGGCGATTGGCAGTGGTAATCTCTACCGCACGAGAGAAAACAAGTGGTCCCTTGCACCTTTCGAAAACACCATCAGCAGGACCACAAGGGTATGGACAGACGCATCACCCCGCACCATCCACATGCTGCGCGGGAACAGCTTGCTTCGTGCTCTCGACAGAACCACACACAAAACAAAAACCTGCTGCTCCTATTTCGTCTCAGACATCGCCAGCGGCATCCACTCTCGCCGAGTCCTTCGACTTGTTCCATATGTAAAGCGTACGTCGGGTCTCGCGGGCGCAACGGTTCCAAGATGCCAAAGCGGTACTTGCAAGTACTGCAAAACCATAATACGCCGTGTAAGCATACCGTACCCAACTACCGCCGTTCCGCACCGTAGAAAAACAGGAAACGGAAAAGACCGCCCGGACACCACAGAAATCACGGCTCCGCTTCTATCGTACCAGCAGATGCCATGGACACCGCCTGAACTCAAGGCCCACCCCACCCGAGTCGAGTACACACTCCGCACCTTCTTCTTAGCCCCTTCGGACATGTACAGCGCGGACTCCCGCCTGCTGCTGCCGCTGCTGGCGGAAGGAGAGTACACCGCTCTCGTGTCGACGCCTGCTGGCCTCGCGGCAAACCAGGAGTTCACCGGGGGCACAAAGGCCTCTGCCTGGATGGCCAGCGCCGCCCATACCGCCAAACATGCCTTCGGCGTTGCCGCCATCTGTGCTGCTTCTGTCACTGTAAGCGGTAAGTAGTGCCGCGGAACGGTTCCACGTTTTGTTGTTGTTTTGCACACGCACCCGTCGCAGTAATCCGTCAGAACGCAGCCCATTCCACGCAATGTAACGTAGGCGACGAAAGAGACAACATACGTAGAAAAAGGCACCGGGGGGGGGGGGGGGGNGGGGGGGGGGGGGGGGGGGGGGGGGGGGGGGGGGGGGGGGGGGGGGGGGGGGGGGGCGAGGAGTAAGAGATGGACGGCAACAACGGCAACAACAGAGCGTAACTACATCATGTAATAATAGTTGATTGGGTAGGACGGGAGGTGGCGGGCTAGACTTGTTTCGTGTTGATATTCATGTGGGTTGTCAGGGGAGCAGATCATCACTTGTCCGGATACAGTACAAGGGAGAGTCAGTCGACAGGAAATGAGCCTGAGTAAACGCGTGTACTGTACGCGAGAGAGGCCGCGTTACATGCAGGATGGACACACGAAGTTGTCACTGTTCACCGACTACACCGTTCCTTCGCCTATCGCTTTCTTCGTAGCCATCTCCGCGGCAACACCTCCGCCGCCTCCCGCCGGCACCCTCCATATCCGTACTCCAAGATGCCACCCAACATCGTCATCATACTACCGATGCTACGAGTAGCTATCATATCATAGCTCTAACCACGAGCCACGTACGGTACTACGGCAGGGGGGCGTCGTCGTCTGTGTAGGCGAGTTTACAGCAGCAGTACACCAGTCAGTCACGTGCGTTACCTATACCCTTTTCGTCGTGTGCAGTTTTCTTTTGTTCCGTGCGGCATCTCCACAGCATGCAACGTGTACCGAGTTAACATTATGGGCAGCAGTGTGATAGCACCCTACAGTAACCTTCTCTCACTGCTGATGTAGCAGAAATACTTCAACACACCCAAACGATTGGGGCCTCATTATGCTGTAGAACATGCTGCATCCTGTATACGAACGCACAACAAAATATATGTCAACCTGTTGTGGGAATTAAACAATCCCACTCAGCTGTGACGTTGCAAAAGGCCAACCTATCCCGTGATGGCCCCTCAGCAGCGCCGGCGTATGCCCCGCCGAAAGCACCGGCACGATACCGGGTGACCGAAAGGCGTACATACGCCAGCGCTGGCGAGATCCTTGCACTCGCCAGTTCAACAATTTTTGGGCTGTGATTGGAGTTAGACACGCAACCAAAGCCACAGCAGGTTTCCAGCCCTTAGGCAGCACCAAGGCGCTAGGCCTCACTAGGCCTAACCCAACCCAAACCCTACTAACCCTAAACCTAACCCAAACCCAACACCCCCAAGTAGGTTGCTGTGCAGTGGGTTGGCCTAGGTCGCTGTACCGAGCTACTGGAGCGTGCAAGCATCTCGCCAGCGCTGGTGTATAGACTATACGCCTCGTCGGGTTACCGGCACTATTCCAACATCCAATATTCAAAGTTCGGAAGGACTTGGTGGTGACTTCATGATTCCGTCATTCTGCCCGCCCAAAACCATTACTCCGAGTAACCGTACCGGCAGTATTCAAAGGGCACTACAACAGAACCGGGGGCCGTGTGCGTACATGTAATTATTTTTCCTAATATTAGTGCTGAGGGGACGCATCCTACTGCATCATAGAATTAGCTGAGACACATAGTGTGTGGTTGGGCAAATAACATCTGTCGTGTGCACGTTGGACTACTGCTGTAGGCAGCGAGCTCTTCACTGCACTTTGCTGTTGCTGCTACTAGCTGCCGTGGCTGCTTTTGGAGTGTAGTGCCAAACCTGTTGTTAGCGTTGGGATGTGCTGTTTGTTGGGTGCCAAGATACCGCCGTCCTGCTGTCTCTTTTTCTATATGAAACATGCAACACGTCCCGGCATGATCCAAGACGTACAACATGAGACCTGCGATAAGCAATGGAGGCATGCCATGCGCTGAGCGTGGCCACTCATTGCCCGGCCGCCCGATTGTACGGCAAAGCCCCACTCCCAACGCACGCACGCCACGGGTGGGAAAATTGCCGCCCAAAATCCCGCTTACGCAACACGATGCTGCTTGGGGTGATGTTGCTTGCTGCATGAACGACGTGTGCAAGACATTCAACTTGACGCGCGCCGTCAGAACAGCAGCTGCTAGTGCACACAGGGGACATCAGCTACGAGATCATCCCGTCTCAGGGGTTGCTTCCAAAGAGGGGGCGATGGCGCCGCGGGGTTGGGTATGCACGCACAGGAAACGGGTGGTGTGTGTGTAGATCATCACACAGGTCTGGTGTATCTGCTGTCCCTTGATCTCAAGAGCAGGCTTCCCGATTGTGCACGGTTGTGTGCGGGCGAGCTACGGCTGCATTCTCGAGGACGGCATATCGCTGCGGAGGGCAAACGCGCTTCCCTGTGCCGACTGAAGCCCTGCAGCACACCAACCCCTGAAACTGCCCTCGGCAACCAAACGGTTTCCGCTGTTGCTTACGAAGAGCGAGAGACTCGAGCGCTCTTGACTTCGCCAGGAGAGCGAACACCCGCATGCAAAAAAAAAACACCCGAAAGGAGCGGAGCGCCTGTGACCCGCACGTTCACTCTCATGCAAGGTCTGTGCCTGCAAAGCAACAGCTAGCTCACCTTGTTCCGAGAAGAGGCGAAGCACCTAGTGCCGCTTTGACTCTACGCCAAAGAGAGACAAAGAGAGCAATCCGATCTCCGTCCTTTGGTTGGCGTGCAACGGGTGAGTGGATTCCCGGGATGCACGCACCGTGTGGGGGGCTCGCAGACTGGAGCCTGCATTTTTACTTAAAAATAGAGGCTGGGGGGGCTGAGCATCAGGTCGCGCCGCACAGCGCAGGTGCCGCAGCAGGGCACACAGAGCAGGCATCCCTTCACTCTGCACACGGAGCAGCAGCAGAGGCGGCACGGGAAGATATTCGGCGCGGAAACATGGCGCTGGGGACGGCGACAGTCGGGTTTCTGCTGCGGTTGTTCTCTGTCCTCGTTGTTGCGGAGGTGAGCTAAAGATTCTTTCATCAACACACACACGCGTCGTGACCTTCGGGGTCGCTACAACACTTCCCCGCATCGCTTAGTGAGACTTCAACGAGGTCTTAGCGGCATGTCGCTGGAAAAGGCGTTGCGGTTGCGTTGCTCGCGTCATCGGTGAACTTGTCATTGCGTCAATCTGTACTGTTAGGTTTCCTTGTACACACGACGCCGTCGTGGATGCTTTTGGGCTAGAGGTTGTTGGCGCTCGGTCGTTGGTGCAGTTTTTTTTTGCGCGCGATCCGCGCGTTGCTGCTGTTGCCTGCTCCCGGCGAGGGAGAGAGGGAGAGGGGACCAGAGAGCAACGGGCGGCCGTAGCACAAAAGTCTAGAAAATCGATCGTCCTGAGCGGGCGTGTGAACTCTAGCATCGCTCCATGCAGCATCCTGATTGGAACCCGTCGCTGGCGTGTGGCACGAAACATGCGCGGCAGCAGAGCATGATACATCAAAATTCATTCAGCACGACAGCAGTCTCGGACTAGAGAGGGCCCGAGAGGGTGGAGCGCAAAAAGTGCGGCCTGCGAGATTTGCTTGACCGGCCATTATAGTCTATGCATTCTGCAAGGAGTGACGAAGGCATCGGAGCTGCAATCCCAGATTGCTGTTGTCGCGCGGGCCGTGCGGCTAGCCTTGCGGCTATTGCGTACATGTGCACTATTGCTTGCTTATTTTGACCCTCACCACTGCTACATGATGCATGCATTCTCCTGTGTACTTGGATGCTACATTGTGGCGTACATTGCAAGCATACAATAGTGCTGCTGTATCGCAAACTGTAAGACTGAAGGCAGCCGTAATGAAGTCTACCTTCTGGATGGCATGCGCCCTGCCTCTCCTTTCTCGTGACTTGTATATCGTGTATAGCCCTCCTGTTGCTTTCCTGGCCTCCTAGTGGCCATCCCACCCGCGCTACCATCCTTACACTGCTGCACTGTTGTACCAGATGTGCTGTACACATATTCAAGCTTTACACGACGTTCTCTCCGACTCTCTTGTGTATCATATGCACCAACGGGACGCTCGCCATCTTCATGTGTAATCTCATGAAAAGTTTCATGTGATGTCATGGGTAGCGTGGCGTAGCTGGCTGCGCGTGTTGTTCATTTTCTTGAGCATACATGTAGATAGGCTTACCTTGCCATGTTTGAGATGATGAAATGATAGCGCAGCCTCCAGCAAGTAGCTTCCGATTGGCATGCTGGAGCCTGCACACATTGTATCCATCTCTTCCTGTTCCTGGGCCAAAAATGTGCCGTGTACCCACCCTCTCTGGCACCCCGTAGTACCATTGCTTCAAGCCAAGGTTTGAAAATATAGGAGTAGAAGGTAGGTGGCCCTTGTAGAGAAGGTGCCACAAATGTCTTGTTCCTCAAACCTTAACACTCAACACTGTTATTGTTATTGTTTCATTGATACACCATCATCGAGTTGCCGTCGTTCTTGCATGTTCCCCCTAGCGACTTGCCGTTTGCAGAAAGAAGTTTCATGCATACAGAGAAAGTGTTTGTTGTCGTGTCTGTCGCCCGTCTCCGAACGTGTGTTCCCTTTCGGGAGGGTATCGATCTAGTACAGGCCTGAAAACAAATCGTGGGGCAGCCGGTTAGCGCGGTCGATGCCAGTTAATAGAAACGCACAAACGCGTATTCTTTTTCATGATTTGCCGGTTCTCGCGACCGATGGTAAACCCCACCCCCCCCACTCCCCCCCGGTGTTGGCCATCGGGGTTGGGTTTGTTGGGTTTTCGTCGCTTGGCAACGACGGTGTAAAACAAGCCATTTCACTTCGTGAACTCGGCAACCAGGTTGCCGTTTCTTTTACCTCTGTTTTTTTTTGGGGCGGTAACCATGAATGATGGTCGAGTAGATCATGTTGTGCGGGGTCGAGAACCCTCACTCCGCGCAAGGGGGATGATCGCACCACGTTGTGTTAAAATGGTCAAGCACCCTCGAGGCAGTTACACAGTGCTTACAACCTNCAGTCATACGCAGCTGTCATCCGTATGCAAGGAAGTAAGCACACGATGCCGAACACCCTTAGCAGGATGCAGCGCACCCTTCATGCGACTCGCCGAATACCTCACGGCGCTTCGCGCTTGGTGATGTGAGAGCCTGGTCCGGTGGGAACCCGGCGTGCTCCGTCCCGGCATTGTATGGATGCGAGGTCAATGGTCTAACGACTACGGCATGCACGACTATGAGTACACCCCCTCCCCCCCCCGACGTGTGCGAAACCAGGCGTTCGTCACCACTCCAAGATTCTCGACAACACCAGAAGCCGCGACCACTCGCAGGGGCGGCTGCGCTAGCAGAAGCGGTGCCGCATCCAGCACGAGAAGAGCGGACGTTTCGATGGCAGCAGGAGAGCCCGTTCCCGGAAAGTCGATGCTTCGGTCGCGCGCGGTGGGCATTGGGTCCAGCGCCCCGGACACGGTGCTCCCCAACACTGACCTAGAGGAGCTGGTGGAGACGTCGGACGAGTGGATCGCTACAAGGACGGGAATTCGGAAGCGCCACCTCCTGAAGGCGGTGAGGTTGTCTGTCAAGTTGATGGTGCACGACACCAAGCCGTGTCGGCTCAACGGCAGAGTGCCGATGTTGGGTGCTGCATGCCGTCACGCTGCCGTGGTGTTTTTGTCGTTTCCTGCTGTGTAGTGTTGTTTATCCTTGTTCTTGTACGCGTGATAGTGCCGCTGTCGTGTTGGACACACGCATGCCCTTCTTCCTCCTCGTCCTCGTTTCGGCATATCTCTCTTGGTGTTGGCGTATAGCTTCGACAACAGACCCAGATACTATGTGGCAGCTCGCAGCTCTCTCGTTGCCGCTGTACTCGTTCGCTCTTCCGTCCGCAGTCTCTCCATGTGTTCCGTCTCATGTAGTTCTTACGCTCCCCCCTCTCTCGTCGTGCGTGTTAGGGGGAAGGGGTTACGGATCTGGCCATCTCCGCCTCAAACAAGGCCCTGGAGCTAGCCGAAGTGGACGGCGCGGACATCGATCTGGTACGTGAAGGGCAACAAACCGAGCAGTCAGTTGGAGGCGTTTGGCGTGTTACGACGAAACTCAGTTTTCGTGGCCAATGTGTTGGGTTGGCCATCGACCGGTGATATCGCTGACAGCAGTGCTTGAGGTTGTGGCGATGGTCCTACCGTCCCCTCATGGCAAGTCGCAGTAAAACTAGCCCTATCCCTAATGCCAGCCGTACTCCCTCTCCGGCAAGTCTTGCCCCAGTTTTATCCTGTCCTGTCCCTGGGTATCCTGTTTTTCCTTATCGGATCCTGTTTATCGTGACCTCACCCTACCCTACCCTACCCTACCGTATGGCTTGATAGGTGGTGATGGCGACATCTTCCCCAGACGACATGTTCGGCGACGCCTGCGTAGTTGCGAACTCCGTGGGCGCCAAGAGTGCGGTGGCTTTCGACCTGACGGCTGCGTGCTCCGGGTTCCTGTTCGCCCTCGTCACGGCCTCGCAGTTTCTCCACTCCGGCACATACAAGTGAGGACGACGCATTCGAGTGAGATTTGCAAGTGACAATAGTTATTATCAGTGTGAATGGTAAGTGCCAGTGAGCATGGAACATACAAGTGAGGATGGTAAGTATCAGTGGCAATGGCACATACTATTGAGAACGGAAGATAAAGGTGAGTATGCGCGTCGAGCGTGAGAATGAAAGGAAGGGAATATGAAGAGGTTGTGTTGACCCTTCGGGCCTTCGGGGGGCTTCATAGTGCGTGGCTTTCAGCCCTCCTTCACGACTCAAGATATGCTGGTAACAAAGCGCGACTCCGTCGACCAACAGTTCGGCCATGGTAGTCAACCAAGAAAGCTCCAACGCCGAGGGGAAGGTTGTTTTTGGCAGGCTAGGCTGTCTTTGTAATAGCTTCGGCTGCGCGTTTTCTGCTTTGCTGCAGCGGCCACGGGGTGCACCGTCCGGATTGTTCGCCGCTCACGCTCTCGCATCTCTTTTCTTAGAAAAAACTCCACCCTCGATTTGGAATCAATGCTCCTCGCCACCCCCGCCCGGCGAAAACTTCGGAACAACCCACCCACCATGATATCCGAAAACAACAGTCACACCAACCTAGCAACAGCAACAGCAACAGCAACAGCAACGACAACACAGCAAACATCAACACCACCACACCGCGTTGATGGCACGTCAGGAAGTGCTTGGTAATCGGCGCGGATGCCTTGTCGCGGTGGGTCGACTGGGACGACCGCAACTCTTGCATCCTTTTTGGTGATGGTGCTGGCGCCATGGTCCTGGAAGCGGCAGAGGGGGATGACTCAGCGGGTCTCTTGGGTGAGTCCCTTTTCTTTTGGAAAAAAACAACCCCCCGTTCGAGACATTACCACAGCAGGAGTCTAAGGGGATTTGTTCGATTCTTCACAGTGTGTGAGAAGAAAGGCTGGATACTGGGCTTATTTTTATTCTTTTTAGGCGTATCACTCACGTATGGTCTATGATGCCAGCTGGTGTGTGTATTCGTCCCATCTAATCTGGCGTCGGTTTGCAGGCCTTTCGGCATATTCACCTGACGTATCAGCTGGAACTAACCACAAACATATGTGAGGTAAAAGGTATACTGGAGTAAATATGCATCGTTTTTTTTTTAGGAGTAACCAGAAACGGTTTGCCCGGATCGATTATCACCATTCCAGGGTACACTTGGAAATCAAGACGACACCGATCTCCGACAGCATCCTCCGTAGATCGCGGCGAAACCAATAAACCTCTGTATGTGTCCTGTGTGTCCTGTGCCTCGGAAGCATGATGCACAAGGCAGGTCGTGCCCGTTTTTCTCTCTCTCTCTGCCTCTCTCTCTCCCTCTCTCTCTCTCTCTTCTCTCTCTCTCTCCCTCTCTGCTTTTACTGATCAGTACCACACCGAAGTACTCGCGCGTCAAGCGAGTCCGACCCTCTGTTGAGAAGGGCCGGTATCCTATGGAGGCGGTGCCCATGAACGATGAACGAGCGAGCGTTGTTGGTGGTTGGTTGTGGTTATGTATGCGTGGTACACGCTATGTGCGGCACACGTTTTTTTCTGCGGGTTTTATGCCAGAGCGTTGGGCGCCGGGATTATATGACCATTTGATTTCTGGGTACAAAATTGACCTCTTCCGGGTACACACCAGTAACCAATATCGGTCACACCAGAGGGTCCTAATTCCAGCGGAAGTTGTACCTGATGGAGGTTTCTTCAGAAATGGGTACAATGGTTTTTCGGCCAATTAGCTGACAGCCTGGGGGTGCAAGCGTGTTGATTTCTAACTGTACCCTAAAGTGGTGGTACAGGACCCGGGTATACCCGTTTCTGGTTATTGGTCTTTTTTTTTTTTGTCTTTGTTGGTTCGTGTGTGTTTTGGGAAACCTGCATTAAACCCGCTGACAGCAGTAGTCTCACCAGTCGTCGAAAGTGAAGTTGTAAGGATGAAGGATTGGCGGCGTGCGTACCTGTCGGCTTGTTTGGCTTTCTCTTTTTCTCCTCTTGTCCTCTTGTCCTCTTGTCCTCTTGTCCTCTTGTCCTCTTGTCCTCTTCCACTCGCCGCCGCAGGCAGGCCTAACCGTACCGTCCATCGCCTCGATGAATAGATACTTGTAGTGAGGGTGTCCTGTTGCGGGCACCCGCCATTGTTCCAACCGTGAAACGTGTTGATTGTTCTGTCCGTCTGAGCCATAAGATTTCACACGCCCTACGGGAGCACGCCGTCCCCATTGAGGGACCGGACTGCAACAGGTTTAATTGTTTTCGTTGCTTCTTGGGGCCACAATGTTTGTTTGTTTTTCGGCTTGCGCTCACGGGCGTGCCCGCAGGGTTCTCGCTCCACAGCGACGGGAGGGGGCACAAGTCTCTGACGCTGGGGTACGATGGCGAGGAGAGGAAGCTCGGAGATAAGTACGCCGTCACCAAGGGGAGGTACGGCTCGCTTGGCATGGAAGGGCGAGAGGTGTACAAGTTCGCCACAAGGGAGGTGAGAAAAGGGGAACACGTACTGTAGGGGGTTGGGAATGATCATGAGTATGTATGCGTGCCGCCGGGGTGTTTGGACCACGGACCTTGTGTCCAGCGTCCCTAGGCTGTCGGCGCGGTGACGATGTCGAGGGATTTGTTCCGACCAGGCTGGAGTAGCTCTGAGGGATATGCGGGGATTCGCTTGGAGCATGGAGGGAGCTGTATCCTGTGGGGCGTATACACTCTGCCCGGCATGGCTGAAGTTGACGCCCCAAAGCCGTCGCATCGCTTTGTACTTCGAGGAACTGCTGCTTGTGCTCTCGCGAAAACAGAAGAGGGGAGGCTCTGTCGATGCTTTCGTCAGTCCTGGTCATGGCAGTCTTTGAGCAGTGACTGAACGCGGGATATGCTTCGAAGTACACTAGAAGGGGGGTGCGTCTGAGTGGGTAGGAAAGGGGTATTTCATGACACGACATGACATGATGTATCTGCCTCGAGTCGTAACTGAATTGCCAGCGCTAGCTACCACAGCAGCAAATATTTTTTTCGTCACGTAGAGAAAAAGCGAATATCCGTCGTGGTTGCGACCTGTACATAACCCTGAGCCTATGACTAATCCTACGACTATTGTACAATGTAACTGCATGCGCAGGTGCCAAGAGTTTTGACAGAAGCTCTGGATAATGCGGGGATGGGAGTGGAAGACGTCGACTGGCTGTTGCTTCACCAGGTGAGACTCGCTGCTGTTGCTGTATTGGTGATTGCTGTCCTGTGGTTGTTGTTGTTGTAGTTGTTATCGTCGTCTGCTGTTGCCATGACCGATTTTGGGCTACCCGCCATCGCAGTCAGGACATAGCTGTACTTTCGTTCTGCGCCAGCAGGGCCGGTTGTGGGTCGCTTGACTCGATTCGTTTTGGTTTGGAAGACCCTCCCCCTCCCGTTCTAATTTCCCTCTCTTATCGCTCCCTCGTCCCTTTCTCTACGTGTACTTTGCTTCTTCCCCCGTGTACTATCTGCTTTGTTTTACTACTTGCATGTACCGTGTCCACTCCCGCCGACTCGCAGGCCAACATCCGCATCATGGAGACAGTTGCATCAAGGCTGGGCCTTCCGATGGACAAGGTAACCATTACCAATACCGTTCAATTCCGTTGTACCACGTCACATGAACCCCTTCGATAATAGCCATGTATTCGGTGTTTCCAGCCATTTGAAGCACGCTCCTCGCGTTATGAGCACGAGGAGGCGTGCGTAGCAGAAGAGGGGGGGTGGTTTGTCTCCTGATCATATTCATTGCTAGCTCTTGTCAGGCAGAGAGACAGTTCCCCATTCAAGAGGCGGAGAACTCCAAGAAATTTCGGTGAAAGGCCATCGATTGGGACGAGGAACAAGAAGGAAAAAGCTCGCACTCCTCGGTCGTGTGCACGCACCGTCCTATGCATGCACGGGTGAAGCCACGGTATCGCTTGGTTAGAACAAGAAAATGAATATCACGTTATGTGGTATGGTTACCGATTTCAATGTTGGTTGGTTCTGCGACTTGACTGTGGTCGTTGCCGTTCTTGTGGCTGTAGGGGTAACCGTAGCCCCGTCCGGAGGTGGGGGAACATAGGGTCCCGTTGTGGGTGCCAGAGGCTCTAACCTTTTTGATTTTGAGGGAAGACCCCCCCTTCGCTTCAAAAAAACTTGGCCTGCCGTTTTTGTTGAAACGGTACACGTTCGTGCAGGTTATCACAAACCTGGCGGAGTATGGAAACACCTCGGCGGGGTCGATACCGCTAGCGTTGGACGAAGCTGTCCGGTCTGGCAAGGTGAGGCCTAGGGCGGCACAATACACAACACCACATTAGACAAGACCCACCTATACTACATAGACTCCGTCCTAGCGGGTTTACGTGTATATGCGGGTTTCCGTACTTTTGTGGTTTTGTCGGGATAGGTCTAGTGGTGTTCCCTGTGTTTGCGTCGCTTGAGCCTTGTGTAGCCTGATTCTTGTTGTTGTTGTTGTTGTTGCTGTTGTACGTTTTGTTCCCAAGTGATGGAGCGTCTTCTTGCCTGTCCACGGCTAGGTGTAAGAGGTGGTGCCGCTGCCTTCGTCGTTTGTTGCAACTGTTGTTGTCGTTGTTGCTGCTGCTGTGGTCGTCATCGCCGCTATGGTTGTCGTCCTTTTCGTCTGTTGCCTCGCTTTTATCGCGAACCTTGAAGTATGCTTCTTACCAAGTGCAATTTATGTTCCTCGCTCTCGGATTTCGCCTCTTTCATTTTTCTTTTACCCCCCTCACCCCAATCAGGTTAAATCTGGCGACGTGATCGCGTGCGCAGGATTTGGTGCCGGCCTCAGCTGGGGAGCGGCGGTAATTCGGTGGTCCGGCTGACGCGCTGCATCAATCTGGTCCACCACGGCCATTGTCTAGACTATTATAGCATCTAGTTGAGTGATCTGCAGTGGCGAAGCGGGAGTTAGATCTTGCCCGGTGATGGCGGTACAATAGTATAGCTGATAGCTGGCGATTCGTGGCAACGGCGCGGTGTTTAGTTGCTTTTGGCGATGAGGGTCGAATAGAAGGAAGGCTGTTTGTTTGCTTAGTAGTACGGGTGTACACGAGGGAGGGGGGGCTGTTTTTTTTTGTTCTTCCTGGCGTTGGTGTGCTAAGGTGTTGCTGCGGAACCGTCCGGAGAGCAGTCCGCTGGTACTCGCTTGCCTGCCCTCTCGAATCGCTTTGTTTTTTTGTGAGGAGCGAGGGGGGCAATGTTAGAGAGAGGGGCGCGAGGACTCACACTACACCTACACCAACAGAGCGGATGGATGGGCGTGTTTTTGCCTCATGGTCCTGCTTGGCATGAGACTAGCACTGTGTATTTCACGTCGTGCTTGCCACCCAAAATCCCGTTGGCTGAGGAATGGCGGCAAGGGCACTGTCACTGCAGCGGCGATCCCCTCTCCATCCCTTTGTTGCTGCAAAGCTAAGAGATTTACTCACGTACTTGGTTGTTCGATGATTGTCGTCGTTTGGCTTGCTGGGCATCCTTTGGGGGACGCCGGGCATGCAGTGCCAGGCACGTTAATGTTATTTGATATTTGCGAATGCTTCGGCGGATTTAGTTGAGTCTTAGATACAAATGTATGCCTTCCCAAGGTGCAAGATGGCGGCGGGCTGTCTATGTTCCTGGCGTGTATTTTTTTCCGTCATAAGTTTCTGTCGGGCGGGCAGGGGTCGAAAGCGTTGTCGGAGTCTCCCAACAGAAACAAATGCGCTTGGTTGGGGTCTGCTTCGTGTACGTTGAGGTACGCCAGCACGTAGCCTGCGATATGCAAAGTGCGGGGAATGGTCCTTCGAGAGGGGCGTCGTTGTGGTGTACTGCCTCAAGGGTTGTTCGACTTTTTAAGAAAAAAGAAAGTTGACGAATGGTAGTATTTGTTCTTTGTCCTGCTGTGTGGCGACACTCTCGCTAGGCCGCGACGGGTGCATCCATGCATCATGCCGAAAGGTTCAATACACATGTCCATATAGGCATTTTTTTTTTTCTTCGAGAACACGCGGTGAAATTTTGGTATGAATAAAAATCACGTGGTACGGAACAAGGAAGTCCAACTGCCGTTCAAAACGAAAGAACAACCGCATTGCGTTTGGCACGGCGACAGAGCTCCCGCAACACAACCGGTACTACCGGTACCAACACCTCACAGGGAGATACGTAGCTCTCCTCGAGCATCAGGGTTTCACGCCCTTTTTGGCACGGGTACAGGACCAACATCACGCATCAACCATGTTCCTGGTGCCAAACCATCATGCTCACAATCTCGTGACGCTGTTCGTCGCTCGAGCCCTTGCCTACGGTGCCTCGCGAGAATTTTTATACTTGGTGAACCCTTTCTATGGTATGCATACAGTAATAGTGAAAAAACATCGCAACCTGTTATGGAAAATGACTGCTGCAGGAGACACTGCTGCGGCGTTCACGTTATAACGTACGGATGCTTCGTTTTGAACCTCCAGCAAATGAAATGGGGTTCCCCCCAGCGGGCACCACAGGCAGGCTCAGCAAGCTTTTTTTTTTTCAATTGCGAAGCAGTACAAAGCGTGTTTGTCCGGGATGTCGCCGTCAAGAATCATCACACCCTATCCACCCACCACTCCACGAGAGAGAAGAAACTCGCCAAGACGACATAGCATGTGTGACGTCATCAGACAAGTAAAATATATACTTTGCATATATTTTCGCCCTTCCTTACCGCCGAAACCCACTCCCGTCTCCCCTCTCCCCCAGACGCCGACTCCGGGCTGCATCAATTTCCATCAACAACTAACATTTCAATCCATCCCCATATCGTACATAGACTATATGCTATGGAAACAATATATATAGTCCACAGAACGACCCCGGTTCACAAGGTTTGTACCCATCCGCCATTCGACTTCCACCTGATGGAATCGGCAACACCTCTTCACACTCGTCATCAAGTCGGTGCTGGTTTCGCTCGTCTCACACCTACGAACGGAAGGAAGAGAGAGAGAGGTGAAGGTCGAACGATATTAATTCACACGACACCCCCTACAACGTGCGTTTGTTCGTGTTCCCTCACGTACGTGCACTTTTCACATCACTATCATTCTCATTCCCCCGCCCACCTCCCTCTTTGATACAGATGACATCCACCCCAAGATACACCCAGTACAAATGAATATATATAATTCATACGTCCTCACGCTTGGAAGTTTTTCTCTTACTATTTTGAAGTACATCGATAAGTCCATGACAAAACGTATTTTGGTTCTCCGTCAATGGAGCACGGAGAAACCACCACCGCCTCCACCCTCAACGTAGGTATTTGTCAATCGTGGGAAGGCTACAGCTGAATGATGATCATGATCTGGATCTTGGCATTGTCCCTACCGGCTGGGGGTGCAACCGGTGATTGGTCTGAACGCAGCGAATGCCACTGGTGGCAGCTCTACCGTAGTTGGAGGCGACAAACGAAAAAAATTGCTACCGATCCGCAGTGAGTGGCGATTGTTTCAAGTTCACATAAAGTAAGCAAGTACAGTCCCGCATGCAGGCTTTCAATCAATCAAAACCAATCAATGCCGTGACCGACCACCATTAGTCAGCCGCAGCCCACCATAAGAACCAAATGCAACGCATGCATGTTAATGTCTAGGCCCCAGGTGTGAGCTACGGCGGTGGTAGTAGCATCGTCGCCGTAAGCCGCCCTCCCTTTCCCACCCGCCGGACAACAAAATACCAATAGCCATCCGCAACGAACAACAGCAGCACATGATCTAGACTTCTTCTCGTCGCAGCCGTTCTTTCCCCTGTCATCAACCACGCCCGCCCCCTCTACACTAGATCTCATTCCACTGCCTACTACCGCGTACATATGTTTTGTGCTCGAAGGAGTATATTTTTTATTGCTCGATGAGTCGTTCGTACGAAACTCACCCCCCTCCCCCCACAAACACTTGCCGCACTTGCATGCGTTGCACGCAAGTCAGAAGATTGGCTGCTCGTACACACCTCCTCCAAGAAAGGTTAACTTCTCTCTCCCTCTCTCTCTCTCCCTCACCAACCCTTGTCTATTCTTGTTTCCTCCGCATTCCAAACTTGGCACATACACACCGGACTTGGGCCTACACTGCCAATTGTGCCGCCAACCCACTGAGAGCGATTAGATCGGTTAAGGCTTGGACAGGGTACCCACTGCTTTCCTAGGCCTATATATATATATATATATGTCCATCATCATCGTCCGTCTGACCCCCCCCGTACTCCGATGGATATCCAGCCAGCCCCGCAGGCTGCAACACAATACTCTCACCAACAAAGCCGTCGATCACCGAGCGAAGAAGGCTTGACATCTTAGAGTTCTTCTGTGCTAACCATCACCTGTGCCCCCCCCCCCGCTAAATACTTCGCGTGTGTACTTGGTCATCCAGACTGCCCCGCTGGCTCCGAAAAAAGACTAACAAAGAGACCCTATTTTATTGTACCATACAAATATTACATTATCGTACCAACTTTTGAATGCCAAGCAACAGGGCACAAACCAGCGTAGAGTTCTATGTCGTCGTCCATGATCGCCCCCCCCCCCCCCGAAGAATCGCGTCGTCAGTACCGCCCAGACTGACTGTGAAAAAATGCAAAAATAGTGTCTATGATGCACGCCACAATTCTTCTGCCGGATCAACAGTAGCCGTCTGTGTAAAGACAATGACCGAGCTCAGTTGTTAACAACCAATAGTTTAATATTACGTTTTATCCGTGAACAGCCAGCGCCTGCAACTCGCCGCGAAACATGATGCTTTTTACTAATTATTCTTCCTGCCACCCCGACTCGCTCGCCTCTCATGAACCAGTCTTATTATCGTCATCATCATCGCCGTCGAGGATGTGTCAATCTTCGCACCAACCAAAGCCCCTCCCCCCCCGTTTTTCTCTCGTTCTCGCAACAACTTAGCAGTAAACTCGCGACATGTATAGTGAGCCACTTAGCAGCGCTCATCAATGTGTATGTGCATAATATGTATGGAACGCGTCCTCCTCCTCCTCCTCCTTCTCCTCCTCCTCCTCGTCCTCCTCCTGCTCTTCCTTCAAGCGCGCAGCAAGAACCCCTCGTTACTATAGAGTCTCAGACGACGAAAGTGCCCAAAAAAACAAACTTCTCGAGCGACAGCCAAAACTGCCGCAAACGCCACCAAGAAGCGCAATCGATATCGATTACTTGTTAAGTGTACTCGATACAAGATACGCAATAAAAAGCACCACGAGGAGAGCAAAAAAAAACGTGGATCATCACGTGGTGCGATCTCCTCGTCAATAAAAAAACAAAATCAACGATTAATTTCCAAAAAAACGCTGTATTATAGTGCAATCTATTCTTGTTTCATGCCAAGCTACGTGCCAACCCACACCTCGACGTTTTCGTCATGAAATAAACACCAAGAGAACCAAAAGAACGTTTTTCTTATTCTCTCTGCAGCAAAGCCATCTAGCCCGCGTAAACCGGATGTTACACCACCCAGAGCGTAGATATAGAGCAAAACCAAAAATATGTTCACTCCGAATAAAATAGTAAAAAATATGAAACAAAACTTCGCAGATCAGATAGAACCCACACGCCCTCCCCTCCGGCGAAGACGAACACAAAGTTATTAGTTGTTGCACCACGACAAACGACACTCGTGAATCACACGAACGAGCCTCCCCCGGTTTATACCTGTGTTTGCACCGCTAAGTATATAGCATGGAGAGCTAGCTGCAGAAATGGCCGCCAACTGCGTCATCATCATCATCATCCATCAACCGGAAAACAACCTCATTTTTGCTCGAATCATACCTTGGTAATATTTCCTAGTCAAAATCAACAAGAGAGAAAGACAGAAGCGCTAGAATCGCGCAATTCTGCGCATGCCGTAACACGTGCCACACACCTTTGATGCTCGTCGTGAAATAAATACCACAACAATGTCCCAATTATATCTTCAACTGAATACCTAACGTGCGTGAACCAATGTTATACCCCCATATCATCGAGCAAAACAATTTTTGCAAAAAATAACATATAAAAAAAATCACAAAACCTTGCCCAGACAAACGCCAAGCACGATCACACGCCACCCCTCCAGCGAAAAAGACAACATAGTTTCTAATTGTTGCACCACGACACCCCTCCGAGGATTGAACCTGCGTCTGCACCGCCAAGGAACCGGCAGATGAATTCGGCGGATTCAAACGAAAGAATCCGGCCACGTCGTTCTCGATATCGTTTATTTTCACACGCACGTCACACGGGCACCTGAGGTTTTTTCAACGCGTGGAGATGGGAAAGGCCGCGCCACCGTGCTATCACAGGACAATCACGTGTCGTGGAGAAGATCCTAAACAAAAGACGGGGTGAACTGACCAAACCCCGAAAGACGAGTCATCTCCTCCCCCCCCCAAACATTCACCCACACTCTACAAAGTTTGCGCCGTCTTACCGCACGGGCAGTCATGGCAGTGCTTCTCGAGGAGGTCAGGTTGGTTTCATGCCTCGAAAAAGAGTTCCACTTGTGCCGGAACGCGCACTACACCCAACGACGAACCACACAGGTAGCAATACCTCATCAACACATTCATGACAACGGTTGCAGGGGTGGGGTGGGGGGTGGGAGGACCCTCATCCAACACGACCACCAACACGCCAATCGCATCAACATCGCCTTTTCTGGGCGAAAACAACAACACCAACACCAATACGACCTCGCACGCGCGACAATGAAGCACACGCAGGCACCGTGGGGGTCATGGAAAGATGAAAACTATTAGTATACCACAAATCAGGTAGGGGCAAAAAAAACTGAAAAAAAAACTCTCACTTCTAGGCCCCCACTTCGACTAGAGACAACCGATCTGCACAGACACACGCATTTGAATAGTGGTGGGCGTTCAACTCTCGCTGTGTGCTTGCGGCTGGCTGCACCCCTCGCCCCCGAATAGCAGCAGCGCCGACACCCCCCCCCCCCNGCGCTTTCCGCCCACCCATCAGAACGTAAACGGCGGGAGGAGAAGTGACCCCTCTTGCAGCCATACATGTCCGAACGCTCGTCGCCTTGTCATGCTCCGGAACGACGGGTGGCGGCGGCGGCGCCGGCCGCCCGCGGCCCTTGAGAAACCCCCTGACCCCGACCGCGACCTCTTCCCTGGCCTTGGCACGGTGGAGACGAACGGCGCTGGGCGGGGGTACCACTGCCCCTCCTGCAAACCCACCGCATAAAGAAGAGGAGAGAAGATGAGGTCAGCGGGAAGGACTGGAAGACGCCAAACCAGCTGAAAACGGATCTGATCTATGACGTATTGAGGTCTATTGTTGTTGTTGAGCCTGGTTGTCCTCACTTCTTTCCGATTGCACGGCACCGCGAAGCTCAGCACAGCACAGAGAAGCGCTGCGCATGACACGCGCTTCTTTCTGCCGCATCACCTTGACGCAATCCTAGCAGATATTTACATGAGCGTGACCGCATTCTTCATGCATGTACAATACCGCTCTCCTCTGCTCTTTTCCTTCGCGCACCGTATTTGTCGGGGGGCGGCTGCCGCAGAGAACGCCGATCCAGCCGTATGCGGCGTTTCGTAACCTCCTCCGCCCCCCCCGCCGCCGCCGCCGCTTCCGCCGCGCCGCGAGGAGCACGTGAGGTCAGGGCATTGCGGGGAGGACATGAAGTAGCAAGGCCGGCGTGTGTGTTCCCCACCGCCGCCGCTGCTGCCGCGACCATGCGGGTAGAAGCCCGGGGTGGTGGGAGCGAAGGCACCGCCGCTGCTGCCGCCGCCGCCGCCACCGCCGCTTCTACGCCAGAAGGACGAGGGAGGGTTGTCGCCGAATAGTTCCCGCTCCGCCCGTTTCCGGATCTTTTCGTATTCTTTCACTGAGAGACGCGCGCCAGAGAGCAGCGGTGGGCGGCAAGGGAGGGGAAGACGCCAATGAACGCGAGGATCCCAGTCTGCGGTGCCTCTCTGTGGGTGCGCTCTATTTTATCACCAACCAAGATCTGCATCTAAAGTAACAAGTTCGAAGGCTCAACCTCGACCAAAATCAAAACAGAAAAACCGTCTCATGCGCACCTCTTGTCCTCCCCCCCCCCCCCCCCC